GCGAATCCTTCGTTGAGGCTGGTAGAGTAAGCAGCACCACTGCAGTAGTCTCTCATTTCGCATAGGGATGTGGACGGGAGCTCTTGTTTCCTGTAATTTCCGATTACTTCTTTCGCGTCCATGAGCCACACTCAGTTGGTCGTTGGCGTCACTTACCAGCGCTTTTCTGCGTACATTTTCCAGAACCTGCCCAATGTACGGGTAAGAAGAGCCGTCTCACCAGTGCTGCGGAACCTCACTGTAGGTTTAAATCTTGCTGCAAATGAAATCGGAACCAAATTAGTCTGGACCGCCTAATGGACTCCATGTTTCTCTCTCCGTAGGACGTCTTAATTTGTTTTAATTCAGCAGATCATAATTTTGATCACTCCAAGAGTCCAGAAACGCAAATATGCACAGGCACGTCAGCCACCACCTCTGAGATGGTTGGGTTCGTTTTGGCAAACGGTTGCTTTTTCGTGACTTTTGCCGTTAATTACTAGCTTGTTGGCTGCTAGAAGCAACTGTAGGCGACGGTAGGTTACGCAAGCCCTCGTAGCCATCCCTAAGCCCAGGATCGTGTAAAACGAGAATAGTGGTAATAGAGGTGTTAGGGGTGGCGCCTCACCGCCAACAAAGCAAAGAAATATCTGCAAAACATTAACGAAATGAATAAATTTCCATCAGCTTTATTCTTTTAGGCGTATATATAGTAACGAGATTGTGAGTGACGTTAAAATATAAATACAACGCAACTCTCAATCAATTAAGGGCATTTGAAAACAACTTTGTGAATGTCGTTATATGAATGTGGCAGTTACCACACAGAGTGGTACTTCCCACAGCTTTGAAATAGTAAACTAAACTAGACCGGACCGATATTCTAAACCAAGGGGCGCACACAGCCTATCCTTTACCAGTCCAACGTTTACTTAGTCGCTTATTCGCGTCAAGTTATAACGACAGGAAGCAGGCCGCGTACGTTTCTTTGGACAGTTTGTACTCGATCGCAGCCGACATGAAAACGAATCCATGCTTCAATGGTTAGGACGATGGACTTCTAACTAACACGTCGCGGGCTCAGGCCTCAGGAACTGCACAACCTGGGGTTGGCTATGATTAGCTAATGCCGGCTAATAAGACAATCTCCCTTTTCCTTATAGGTAATTTCATTGTGCCTATACTATTAATAGTTCCTTTAGTGTCTATTGCTTTCCTACCGCTTACTGGTGTAGG